TCCCTGTCCTTCATTCCTAATCCTGTGCCCCCTTTGTTGTGTCTCCCATCCCATCTCACCGGGTTGGGGGAGTGAATGCAGGACTGCATGGTCCTACTGTGGGTCAAACCACAGTAGGTGGTTTTGATCAAAACACCTCCTTGATATACTTACTAGAAGCAAGTATCATCTTGGCTGCTCTTTTGCTAAGGTGATCAAAAACAAACTCCTGCCCTTTCCTCTCTTCAGAGCAGCTGTCCATTTGCCCAATTAGTTCATCCACCTTGGAGATGAGGGACAAGAAATGTGTAACTGCAGTCCAAAGGTCTTTGAATAAGACCCTAACATAATGTCACCACTACTCCTCTCTCTGCTGGATACCCCAGTCTTGCCCATTCAAGGATCATATTTGCCTTTTTCACAGCTGCCCCACAATTTGTTTCACAGTCTCTGCCCAATCCAGGGAGTCATGTCTGCTTCAAATACAGCGATATGCATCTTTTTTCTCTTTCACAAATGGAGGGTAAGTGAGCTGAAGGCACAGTTCCAGGCTCTCAGCAAATGCCATACTTTTGCCTCTTGGCTCCTAGCTCTGCTGAGACAGGAGTCACTGTGTGCCATTCAAAATTGGCTCCTGTGCTCTCTTTCACATGCATTTTGTAGACTGCCAATCCCTTCCACAGTCACCTAATGTATGAATGTCCCCGTGAGTTGTTTCCAAATGATAAGATGAAGGTTTATGTTTTGTTTTAATTAAAATCCTCACCTTGCATTATACTCTTGGATTTAATCCATTTTTATTATCCCAATCCTCTCAGCTGCTCATTTCTTCCTGTACAATATTCCTACTCCCCAAAGTACTGCTACCATTCACTAACACTATGGCATGGGCACATTGCATCCTCGCTCGCACTCTCTGACTTGTTGTGCCAATATTTCTCATGAAAATATCAACAAGTTATTAGGTCCAAGATAAAAACCAGGACCTTTCCTTCAGTGCATAGGGAAAGGGACTGCTCTGACGGGGGTATGTATCAGAAGAAACTGTCATTTATGTCAGTGGAAAGGTGGCAGCAGTTTGTGGACAATCAGTGGGTGCCCACGACTGCCTTTCCTCACTCCCTGATTCCAGTAAATGAAATGGATTTCTGAGGTAGCTCAAGTGTAAATACAGGACCACACAAGCTTCCTTTGTGTGTTGGTGTGGCTGTGCAAGTTGGCAGCACTGTTTATAACTTTTGCAGCCTACTTATGCTTTTGGTGAAAACAGACAGAATTTGAAGGGTTTTTTTCCCCTAAGGCAGAAGCCAAGATTAACAAGGTGTGCATCATGTCTAAGGAGGTCAGAGACACAATGGCACCGATATCCAAACACCCTTTATCAGCCTGAACACTGGTATGTGAAGGTGCAAATTGATGTGGAAAATAACCATGTGTAATGCTTTACTTTCTGACTGTTCCCCATCATATGGGAGCTCTTTTGCTAAATGAAGACAGTGACAGAGATAAGGATGGATTACCTGTCTGATCCATTCCATGCACATTCAAACTTGTCAAAGATGCAGTCATTTTCATAGAGGGAACACAACTTGCTCCTAAGGTAATCATGGACCTGTGTCAAAGAAAATAACTTGTTATTCTTGAAACAAAACAAAATACAAACCTCCACAACCAGCCCCTCACTTTCTGTTTTATCTCCCACGTCCACTTTCAAAATACGCTGCACAGATTGGGTGCTTTGCAGAAGATACTGTGTTTAAACTCAAATGAAGCTACGTGTACTTTTCCACAGCCCAGTTAACCAGGTGCTACAGAATTATTGTTGCAGGAAGGCATGAAGCATACTTCCCTCAGCAGGCTGCAGACCACCCCTCTTCAACATATTTGTTTCCTGCTTGGGTGATTTTCTCAGCGCTAGCCTAATTCCCAAAGACATTTCACCAGCTGATACCCTAGATGTGCTAATTAATGTGCAAGAAATCTAATTTAAATAGTAACAGAAATGTCATATTCCCAGATAAGTGGAGTTTCACTTCTTGTGGCAGAAAGAACTTGCCTCTATTAAAAGAAGTAGTGTAGGGTATTACATATATTTGGGTAAGGTATTTCAGAAGCAAATACAGTATAAGGTTGCAGTTGCACAGGCTGCAAATTAGATCACTAATTTAGCCCAAAGATATCTCCTATTTGGCTAAGACTTAAAAACAGCATTGTAAATTCTCACTTACATACTTGAAAAGTGGGACTAACCAGCAGAAGAACTCTCATCTGGGCCACATATTTCTGCCGAACATGGGTTATCATAAAGAGGCAGATCTCATGCAAACTGTTTCAATCCCTTGCTGAATTTGATTAGTTTTCTTTCTGGATGATTGGTTTCATTCCACAAGGAAATAATGAGCTAGAAAATCCCTGCCTAGACAAATTTACTAATGCATTTTCACTCCTGATGTTTTCTTCTAGCTGTTGCAGACACTGTAAACCAAAGATGTGTCCATGGCCTCTGGAAGCATGCATACCATTCCAATAGCCAAGGGGCATAATTTAGCGCTGGCATACAGAGATACTGGTTCTTGCAAGTCCAGAGAGACTGTTCCTGCTCAGGGATGCTCAGCACCCTCCTCTGGCCTGAGGGCATAAACATTTCTTCTAGTAAAATAACTTCTGTCAAGACCAGACAAGGGACAATGACCTTTCACTTATATTTTCTTTAAACTAACCCACTTGCAATAGCCAAATTGCAAAGTATCCTAGGAATATTTGTAATGGAAGGTTATTAAGGATTATAAATTTTAGTAATGGATCAATTTTCATTACTAGATGAATGAACACTGAGCTTTACATCAGCAGATAATGTCTTATACAGGCAAATGGTAGATGCAGATAAAACATTTCACAATTAAATGAATTTACCCTCATGGTGATTAATAGGTCAGAACACTTTTAGTACTGATACACTTTCTTGCACCCACTGTAACTAAACCCTTTCACGTTCCCTTTACTTAAAGACTTTTTATGTTAGCAGTGCAATTTGTTACAGAACTGGAGTTCTTTCTTTTATCATCTTTGTGAGCTCCCAACCAACATTTGGAAGAAACAGAAAGGTTGGGTAAGGTAGAAGGAAGTAGATCACATTCACCTCATTGACTGTCATTTCTCAGTCTTCCTCCTGTTACCATTTCCAGCAGCCATCTGTCATGAACACTGTCATGTACACACCCTTTGTGAACTGTGTCCAACTCCACAGCTTGGGGCTGTAACTTTCTATCAGCTCTGTCAAAAAGCATTTTGCAGTTGCTCTCTCAGATTTCTTACTGATCTCTTCAAGGTCTCAGCTCCTTTTTCTTGACTAACTCTGCAGACTTGCACTACTGCCTTGGACAACCAGCTTACTCCTCATGTGGACCCTTTGATTACCACATTTAACCCCATTCAGCCCCTCAGAGTGACTACGAAAAACTAACTGGAAGAAACATTTGATTTTCACCTTGTTTGCATATCCATCTGCCACTACCAATTGAGGGTAAAATCAGATTTGCCTTGTCTGTTACACATTGTTCTTACCATATATGAATAGTACTTGAATCCAAAACAAATTCATTCCTAACTAATTACAAAAGACACTCTCCTTTTTTTCACTGCACTGTTTTAGGTCAGACCTTCATGGAATTATCTAGCAATACCTAATATTAGTAAATACTATAATATAATAAATATATAAACAGAACCACAGAATCACAGAATCACAGAATCACAGAATGTTTTGGGTTGGAAGGGACCTTCAAGATCATCCAGTTCCAACCCCCCTGCCATCAGCAGGGAGACCTCCCACTAGACCAGGTTGCTCAAAGCCTCATCCAACCTGTCCTTGAACACTTCCAGGGAGGGGACATCCACAACTTCCTTGGGCAACCTGTCCCAGTGTCTGACCACCCTCACAGGAAAGAATTTCTTCCTAACATCTCATATAATAAAGTAGTACACTTATAGACTTTGCTCTTTCTTACAATCATGTGAAGAAATCTCCTGTTCTTACCCTCTCCATGAGTTTCACAGGTAGACAGTATTTAAGTGGCTACCATGCAATGGATGAAATGAGAAATTCAATTTTTTAATGAATATATTTTAATCTTTTAATGATATAAATGTCATCATAATTGCGTGGATACATAACTGAAAATGTTAGGTTTATTTATTGCCTTTGGGTCATCCACCACAAAAAACTTTTTTGAGAGATTTCCAAGTTTATATATGAGATTTATGTATGTGGGAGAGAGATATCTCTACAAAAAATATTTTAAAGAGTAATTTAAAACATTTTTTTGTTAAGAACAGAATTCTCTATTCTCTGCAGTTGGAAAACAGGAAAGGCTGCCTAGAGCAGTTGGACCATGTGACTCTGATGGAGTCCTGTGCTTCCTAAGGCCCCTAAATTCCAAATTCTCCTTTAGTCTGCTGTAACGCTCAGCAGTGCATCTATATACTCTTTACAAGGCGCTGGATAAATATTTGAAAATGAAAGGTAATCCACAGGTTAAAGTAAGGCAGCAAGAACACTGTTATATTTGCAGAGGTTTTGTTGTTGCAGGTTGTTTTTCTATAAGCTTCTGATTGCAATAATCAGTACTGAAAATTTTACATTATTACATGGGAATTTTACATTCCCATCTCAGCATGGAGAACTATAACTTTTTAATTGGTCCCACTGTTGGGTGTCAGATTGATTTAAAGGTGGCTAGCTTGTTTCACAGCTACCTACATGAGGAAAAAAAAGCAGATGTCAAAGTCAAGACAAACAGGTTGGCTTGACCAGCTATTCCTCTCCAGGGACAAGGTTGCCTGCTCCATTAGCATTAGTACAAAACAATATATTACCTAAGTTCCCAAAATCTGAGATGTGATTCTGATATATAAAACACAGTCTCGCCCTTACCCTCCCACTCCATTTTCACAGCATATCAACATTTCTAACACATTTAGCATTTCAAGTACTGCCATTTTCAGAGCAAAACCAATTCTGTAGTTTTAAAGGTACACAGGCTCAGACTTTCCAATATTAACAGGGAACACACTGAAGAGTATCCACCAAAATGTAATGGGTGCAGTGTAAAACACTGGGGACCACTTTAGCTAATAAACCCTAACTAATAAATACCTGCAACATTAGTGATGTAAAATTTTGGTTGTTTTTGACAAGTCACACTACCAAGCTCTCATTATATGTTATTTTAAAACTAATCTTAATTATAGTTACTGTGAACTACTGTACCCCACCTGCCATTACACAGGCGCAGAAAACAAGGGATTGCTCCAGCACTGTCACAGGACTGTCTCTAAGAAAGCAGTATGAGCTAGATGAATCACATTTTTCCTACTTTGCACACTCTTCTACAGGTAGTTTAACAGTTTTTTCTTACTGCATTTTTACAACAAGCAGTTTCTGCATAACAGACATATTTTCCTTCTTCAGGGCAGAGTCAACAAATGTAAGCTCAGCCCACTTCTGCCAAACAGAACAGATGCCAGAGTACAAACTCAGTGCTGGCTGGAGCCACTGGCATTTTGTCTGGATAATATCGCAATGAATTCAGGCAACCAGATGTGTCTGCCAGGCATTCTCAAACTGCTGTGTCAGTGGTGGTGTCAGGGTTTAACACTGATCACTTCTAGAACTAGGCACAAGGGAGAAATGCATAGATGAAGTTTTTAAAAAAAGTTGTGAAATGACAAAGGTGTAAACTCTCAGCAGTCCCAGTGGGAGTAGAATGCTTAGCAACACACAAAATCCTTTCCTCAGTTTCTTTTAAATGTTAATAGTGAAATACATCATTTGAAAACAGATGCCAAAGTAAAGGGATTATTTCCCTTGTTAGAAGCATCATTTCTCTCAAGAGCCCAATAATCCACAGTGAGTGTAACCCTGACTCCTCAGGCCTTACACATCCTTACTAATGCTGAAATTGCCCAGTGACACAGGATGTCACTGTGAGGATTTTAACCATCTTGATTAGCAGCTCTCTTAGCTAGCTGCTTCTCAGATCAAGAAATGAGAAGTTTAGGAAAACATTCAATTTTTGAACAGGGAGATGCTTTTATATTGTTGCATTTCAAGACATGGGAGATACCTACCTGGTATGTTTCTACAGGCTTTGTTTCCATGTTCAGATCCCAAACCTTGACAGTGAGGTAATCTCTTGTTAGCATGTATCTACCACTATGACTGAATTTGACATCAGACACTGAAGAGATAATTTCTGAAAAAAATGATCTGTTACTGGGGTCTTCTGGTTCTTCATAAACTGTTCAAAGAAAAAAAGGAAGAGAGAAATTAGAATTCTATGAAAAAATTCTGTTGTACAATCTGAACTGTGTATTTCTTGTGAAACATGTAATTCAATGTACCAAGGAACATAATATAGAATTATTTATATTCCTGTCACTTAATTTACTTGTTTATGTTTACACAAAAATGCAAACTGTAAGCTTTAAACATTACGATAATTCACCGTATAGCTATGGGTCCAAAGTGCCACTCTGGGAAATTATGTAAATACACCAGTCAGTTCACTACAGCTACCTGTAGCAAAGCAGTGCATCTATGGTCGTCCTTTCTGGGGTCTGCATGTCCTGTTTCCTGACATAACCAAAATTCAGGTGTCCCCATCACGTGAAAGATGTACACGTGGTCTCACAATAGTCTTGGCATCCCCAGGAAGGGTGGTTACTCAAAGCCTGCCCTGGTTGCCAGAACCAGCTGGCCCAGTGTGCAGGCCTGTCACTGGTCATGTCTGAAAACATCTGAGACTAAACACGAGAATTCTGAAAGCAATTGCAAATTGTAATTACCTCTTCCTGAGAGATAAGCAGAAAATAGACAGTGATTTACCATGTGGATACATGAACTACTTAGTTGATGTGCAATTACTGACAGTTCTGGAAAGCACTAAACCCCGTATGTGCTGGCTGGCTGTTCTGTGTGCTGCACAATCCAACAAGGCAGAGGATTACAAAATATTGCTCACAGCACCTCCATGCAGGGAAATCCAACTCTTGTAGCTAGAAGACTGGTCATCCTTGTTCAACTGTACGTAATCATGATACTGGATGACTCACGTTGAATTGCAGAAGCTTGAAACAACTGGTATTAGTGGGCTCTACTTCATCCATTACAAGTTCACTAACCACCAAGGTCTCTTCATCCTCCCCCAAAGAGCCTGCACGAACTCTAGCCCTGCCTACCAGATGCCTAGAGCAACTCTGTTGCCTTTCTGCAGGTATCTGTGGACCTGTGATCCAAATGACCTCATAAGGTGAACCTTAGCAGAAAGTCGGGCTTTTGGGGTCTTTCCGTTCTCAGCAAAATCAGTAGGGTTTGGGCACCTCTGTCTAGAATATTCTTTGAAAATTGGCATTTTGGTGACTGTAATTTTCAAGTTTCAAAAGCAGGTAAAGAAAAGCCATGTGATGAGACTTGAAAATGTGCTGAAAGTAGAACAACTTTATTGTCAGTCAAAACAGAGTTTTTTGTGTAGTCCACTGGAACATTTCTCTCTCAATTAATTTATCTATGACTATGATTCAGAATGTTGAAAGCAACAAGGTTACAGCTTCCATCAGGTGAAATAATGTTCTGCTGAAAGTTAAGGGTGAGTATGTAGGCGAAGTATGTGGGGTAATACAAAAAATTATGGGCAATTTTCTTTGGGGGTGGGCAGCAGAATGCAGCCAGGCATGCACATGAGAATAAGGTCTATATTTGAACACGTACCACACACCTAAACGGTAATGAACTACTTCAAAAAGGGGGAAAAAACTTTTCTTTTCAGACAGATTGTAAACGAACAACTTCAAATAGCTCTTCAAAAATTTGCCTAGACATTATGCAAAGCAGGTATTTTGCAATTATCCTGTCAGATTTTCAATAGAAGTCTGACAAGCATAAAGCAATTATAATTTCTCATACCTCTTCCCTTTAATCTGTCCAAACTATGTACTTGGCTGGCAGGAATTTCATCCTCCTAATTATGATGTGAACTTGCTATAAAAACCAGGAAAGAAAAAAACCTCAACAACTCCAAACTAACTGAACTACACTTTCATTTATAGCTGTGATATATTTTCTTGGCTCTATGTGTCTCGTCCAACTCCCAGTGATTAGAAGAGGAGTAATATTTGTACCTGGGTACTCTGTATTTTGTTACTTAGTGAGATTAAACCATTTAATCCTTTATCTGCACTGTTTATTGCTTTTCTACCTTTAGCATAGTAAGTATCAGAAAGACTTAGATTAATTAACTGCAGAAACTAATGCGGGCATAAAAGCCTCGTATCACTACAGAAAGAAAGATAGTGGTAGAAATTTTAGTGGCAGCAATTCTTTGCAGATAGTTCCTATAGTCAGCATAACCAAGCCAGGAAAATTGTTACAGGAAATTAAGCAGCAGCTCCTCATGTTACAGAGAAAGTTTAGCAACTAGCAGCATATGTCTGAGCAACCAGAACAAGGCATTGGCCTCAGGAAATGAAGGTGAGATACAGTGTTCTTGGCTCTTGGCTATTTCTGGATTAGCATCTATATAGGTTATGCATACACTGCAAAAAACCACAGTCATCATTCTGTTTGGCTAATACAAGTTGAGTAACTGGAGACAGAACAGCAGTGACAGCTATGTGACTTGGACTTCAGGCAAGCAATTCAAATTCAACCCTGGCCTCTTCAAGCTGACAGGAGAAAAATGTGGTGCTAGCCCACCGTTTGCAACACCAGGTTTGCCAGCCAGCACTAGAAACACATTTTCTGTTCATTATGGTTTAGACTCATCTTTTGGAGGATGCTCTTATGCCAGGGGGCAATCAGCATCCAAAACATGAGACTTCAGATCTAGCTTATTTTTCTGTATCTAAATAAATCTTTTTACACCAGGACTTGGAATCAGAACTTTACTGAGATTTGATTACAAATTCTATTATACTCTTCAATTAGTTTCTTGATTAACTTCTTAATAACTAACTTTTGCCATGAAAAAGGGTATTTAACTTAGACTTAAATATGCCTTGGGTGAAAGGACTGAGAAATAGAGAAATACCATGGTATTACAGAGGGAAGTTGAGCATGTCTCTAGAGTACAGCCAATATTGGAAAGGAGACTCCAAGGAAGATGTCATTCCTGTCCTTTACTCCACTGGCAGATACATGGAAAGTCTGCTTAGGGAAATAAAAATGCTCAATCCCTTTCTGCATGGCTTCCTGCTCACAGGTTAAAAACTAGGGTAGTTTTTCACAGAAGTAATTCCAGACTTCGGAGGGAAGGATGGGTTGGGTGAAGGATACTTGCCAGAGCACTATTTTCCTGAATCTTGAAGAAAATCTGCAGCATAAAAATATGCTTCTTCTTTCTCAAAAGGAACTGCCATCTGCTGTAAAACAAACTCTCCTCTCCCATAAAAGAAAAATCTTAGTATTCCTTGGTTTTCTCCAATCTAAAGTAGACATGGAGACTCTCCTTAGAATCAGCAAATAGAAAAAGCATCTCCAAGTTTCCCAAATAGATAATTGTGAAAGAGGGATACCAAACTGCTATAAACACAGGAAGTGATAAACCAAACAGCACTACTGTGTGCACTCCACTGAAAAATAGTGAGTAAATTGTAACTAAACAACCAAAAATAACTCAGTCTCAGAAAACATAAAACCCCAGGTTCTCATAAAAGGTCTTTCTCTTGGTTTGGCCCATTTCCAAAGACACACATTTTTGATGGAGTCATTGGTATTCTCCAGACTCCAACACCACTGAAAATTAGTATTTTGTTTGCTGGGCAGAGCTTTAATCACTTCAGGGTGTAAATCCTGGCATATGTGAACTTTAGAAAACAATAATAACGCTAAAAGAAAATCTTGTATTCCTTCCAAAATCATCGCAACAAGGAGCATGCATGATCCTCTACATTATACTGTAGGTCTTTGGGTAATGCTTCGGCTGAATTTTCAATGTACCTTCCACTTCTTCTTTTCATCTTACCTTCACTCTTTTTCCTTGATGAAATAAAAACACAAGCACTCACAGCAGTGTTGCAAGGCAGATTGTTCCAAAATACAAATATGTATCATGTTTTTTAAAACATAAAGTCCTCTTTAAGATCTATTTAAAAGGAAAGCAACAACAGTACCTGAGATAATATGAGGCAGGGGTTAGAAAAGCTATCTATCTAACATAATTAAAGTTTATCTGGAGCTACTTTTTATTTTCGACCTGAATGTATAAGTGTATAATGGACTGATGGGACAAAAGAGATGTCAGCTGTATTCAGAAATCTTCCATTGCTTTTAAAAGAGAGAAAAATAGAGTATAAGTTTTGGCAAAATGTTGTTATCATAGCCTGAGCACTTGATGATAACTATAAGGGTTTACTGTGAAACAGCAGTAAACAAAACAAGAGAAACAGAGAACTGGCAAGGGAGAAGACTCTTGGTGATAATGCTGTGTACTCCTTAAGGCATAAAGATATGAACCTTGAAAATATCTGTTACTGCAGACCAAAAGCAGAACTATGGATAAAACCTACTTTTTGCTATTACAAAGCCAAACATATTTAAAAAGAAAAGCAAAGATGAATCATACTTACAGATTATATTGAAGAACATGTGGTGAAGATTGGGGAGGTGGGGGACAAAAACAAAACCAGGGAAAACTTGAAGATGAAAGCTTACGAGCTCCACAGATTTGGTAAGAAATGCCATTATTCATAGGATAAAATTATAACCAGCCTTTAAAAGTCATTCCCTAGAGCAGGAAGAAAAAGCTTCTTCTGAAGCTATTTTCTTTCTACTTATGACCAAATAATAACTTATTATTTTTTTCTGGAGTATATTATTTATAGTTTGTACTTTGTCCTGAAAACTCCTGTTTTTATAGCATTAAAGTGTTGCTATTAGATCTCAGTCCTTGGAAATCCTGTACCACAAAATAACTCTCCACCTCCAAAGACAGCTAATGGATGTAATAAACTGTATAGTTCCTGTTCAAGCTACAAATAGGTGAAGATAGTTTTGGCAACACTGGAAAAAGAGACAGTGGAGTTAAAGAGGAGGGAGACGACCACAGAGGCCAGAGCCAGCGAAGGTGCAGGAACAAGAGAGGGAGAATAATTTTGATTTTCCATGCATCATGCATACAAACAGTCTACAGTTAGACTGAATTAAGGACTTATTACAGATAACCTCTGGGTTACACAGGTACACACAGAACAGGTGTATTTCAGCTGGACCTGTAATTATTTGGGATGGATCAGGTAACCTCTC